GAAAAGAAAAGAGAGAGTAGGAGAACAGAAAGTTCAGAAGTGGAAAGCTCAGATCAGCCAGAGCAGGGATGACGTACAGTAGGTATAGTAGGCTTAGCGGTCAACGTTTCCCTTTTTTTAAGGGAAATTCCTTTATTCTGAATAGGATTCCTCGCAAGAAAAGGGAAAAGTTGACAGCTATGATAGCAGGAGCAGGGCTGGATTTAGGTTTGATGAGGCCCTGAGCTACTGACGCTAACGGGGCCCTTTATATGTCCAGCTGTCATTTGTCAACAACAAATTGTCCCCGTTTTTTGTGTTGAATATATGCTATATGGTAATTGATGGACCTAATAGCTATCTCAAGCCATTTGCCCATGTTGCCATGCAGCCAGTCCATGCAGAATGTAGGCACCCTATATATAGAAAGGAGCAAACCAGTGATATTTGAGGGAGCAGGCTAGCAGGCGGGGCCCATGACTTACATCATAGGAGCCTACACAACACAAAACACTGTAGGTTTTATTTTAATTGGTTTTTATTTTATATTTTGGAAATGTACATCCAGTTTTTCCCCCCTTTGATTTTTTTTGGGGGCCCCTCAAGAGAGTGAGGCCCTAAGCTATACAGTGGTACCTCTGGTTACATACTTAATTCATTCTGGAGGTCCGTTCTTAACCTGAAACTGTTCTTAACCTGAAGCACCACTTTAGCTAATGGGGCCTCCTGCTGCTGCTGCACCGCCGGAGCACGATTTCTGTTCTCATCCTGAAGCAAAGTTCTTAACCTGAAGCACTATTTCTGGGTTAGCGGAGTCTGTAACCTGAAGCGTCTGTAACCCGAGGTACCACTGTAGCTTGTTTAGCTTATACGTAAATCCGGCACTGAATAGGAGAGACGGAGGGCATGGGACTTTACTCAGAGCAAAGCCATTATCTGAGAGGTGCCCCCCCCCCGAATACTGAATAAAATACCATGGGAAGAACGTCTTGTATTCCCATTTCTGGCTGATAGCCATGAGAGAGGGGGATTGGGTTCCCTACAGTTCTGTGAGGAAGATGTTTCTCTCGAGTAGCCCTTTTCAAACTCTGCTCCATCTGTTCTCACAGCTTCACACTCGGATTGTGTCCACAATATTCTGCATCCAGGGCATTCCCACAGCTGGTTTGGGAAATGGTGTTCCCGCGACATTGGCCACGATCCGCATCTATCCTTTCCTTCCTTACAAAATGCTGCACTTTGATGCGTCACCGTCCCCAAGCCAGCTTTGATCTAAATTGAGAAATTGAACAAGCTAGCTGCGTTTTAAGCTGGTGGCGCAAACACCGCCCTACTCCAGAGGTGCCTACAGGCATACCTGCAAAGAGGGAATCAGTGCCTTTCCCCCCTGCTCCTGGGTAAGCATGGACTTCTCCTGATTTTGTTTTTCAGGTGGCACCCACACACTTTCCCCTCCAAAGCTCGCCCTGACTTAACTCTGCACCCTTCCAGCTTTTACTCATCTGGAGTGCAAAATCAGGCGCTTGCATTTCCAACAGTCGTTGGTTCTTGTCTTGTACATTTTAGCTAATTTAGCTGGTGTTAAGTACCATCTCAGGACACGGGTGGCGTTGTGGGTTAAACCATAGAGCCTAGGACTTGCCGATCAGAAGGTCGGCGGTTCGAATCCCCGCGACAGGGTGAGCTCCCATTGTTTGGTCCCAGCTCCTGCCAACCTAGCAGTTTGAAAGCACATCAAAGTGCAAGTAGATAAATAGGTACCATTCCAGCGGGAAGGTAAACGGCGTTTCCGTGCACTGCTCTGGTTCGCCAGAAGCGGCTTGGTCCTGCTGGCCACATGGCCCAGAAGCTGTAGGCCAGCTCCCTCGGCCAATAAAGTGAGATGAGCGCCGCAAACCCAGAGTTGGTCACGACTGGACCTAATGGTCAGGGGTCCCTTTACCCTTTACCTAAGTACCATCTATACATCATTTTCATAACATTCTCTTTAAGAGCACTGGGAATGTAAAGAAAGGGAAGGTATCTTTTATCACATGTGGTGGACTTGTAAAGAGGTAAATGCTTTCTGGGAAACGGTATATAATAAGTTAAGGAAAATGTTTTAAAATACTTTTGTTAAAAAACCGGAAGCCTTTTTATTGGGTATAGTGGGCAAAGATATACCAAGGGAAGTTAAAAGACTCTTTATGTATGCAACAACTGCAACAAGAATTCCTTTAGCCCAACGAAAGAAGAGTGGCAGATGAAGATGATGGACTTTGCAGAACTGACAGGAAAAATCCGAAACCAACATAATCAAGTATTCCAAAAGGACTGGAGTAAATTTATCCGATACCTGAAAGATTATTGTAAGCAATTAACATCCCTAGCAGGGTTGTCTGAAGACTTGTAATGAGAAATTTTCTACCTTTCAATATTTATTTAATTTTTGAGTCATTTTGTAACGAGTCTCATTAGAATTGGAAAACGTACAAATTGCAACGATATAAAGGTTAATTTTGAAAGCCATGAGGTGGGAGGGAAGGAAGTCAACAGGCTCTAAAGAGCCAGGGTGGTAAAGTAGAAAATGATGATGTGAATGTATATTATTAAATGGAAAATAAATAAAAAATATTAAAAATAAAAATATCAGGCGCTTGGCAGATGTCTCAGACTAAACATTTGTTTGGCCAGCTGAAGCAAACCAACCGGTCTTCCCAAGGTGAAAACTGCTCCTGGTTTCTTCGGAGCTTGGCCGGAACGGAACAAGGGGCACCTCCCGGGAGGCTTCACCCCTCAAACGACGCACGACTGGATGCGCCCCAATATTGCAGAACAACGTGACGCCATCGTGAAGTTTTATTTCCAACCTTTTTGTCAAGGGCTCCAACCCCTTTGATGGTTTCAGTTGTCCTTTCTCAGTCCTGGCCTGACTGATGCTCAACATTCCGTAGCTTCCCCAGCAATGCTCACAATTCATAGAATCGGAACTGTAGAATTGGAAGGGGATTCCCCAGGTCATCTAGTCCAACCCCCCACCATGCAAGCTAATGATTCACTGGACGAAACCCAACATTGGCTTGATGACATCTGCACCATTCATGTACAAAGTGGGGTGGGGGGGCGTGTTGAGGAGGAGATTCCTGATTTAAACGCAGAAAGGAGGATTTAGCTGAGGGCAGATCAACTCCACCGTCCCTCCCCTTCAAGAAAAGGTAAATCAAGTGTATCCTTTTATCCCTGGTCATTTTGTCTGCCTCTTTCTGCCCCCTTCCCAGCGCCACAGTCTCCTATTTCGAGATGGGAGTAACTAGGAATGTACCGTATTTTTTGCTCCCTAAGACGCACTTTTTTCTTCCTAAAAGTAAGGGGAAATGTCTGTGCGTCTTATGGAGTAAATGTGTGGTCCCTGGAGCCGAATTGCCCAGGGGCGAAAAGCAGATCATGCTTTTTTTTTTTTGAAAGAGGGAAGGGGGTGTTGAAACAAAGCCGCTGATCGTTTGCCGATCATGGAGAGAGATAAGGGACGCTAGAGATAAAGGAGGCTGCCTGGGAGGGGGGAGGTAAAGACAGCAAACTTGCAAAGGGGGGAAACAGGAAGACTAAAGAAATAAGGAGAGAAATTAGAAGAAAAGGAGGAGCAAAAAACTGCTCCAGCTAAGGAAAAGACACTAAGGCAAATAAGAGGGAAGGGAGTGTTGAAAGGAAACAGCTGATCGGTGGGATTGGAAGAGAGATAAGGGATGCTAGGAGGCTGCCTGGGAGGGGGGAGGTAAAAGCCCATGGATCCTCAGGATTTTTGCATTGGGTCACCCCAAATTCAACATCAGATCACATAGCATGTCCATGGCTACAGCCTGCACCAAAAAAATCACGCATCCACTGTTTCCTGGAGCTGCAATGGTACAAAAATGTGGTTACAAAGCATGGATCCACATGGATCCTCAGGATTTCTGCATTGGGTCACCCCAAATTCACCATCAGATCACATGTCTGTGGCCACAGCATGCACCACAAAAATCCTACATCCACTGTTGTATTCAGAATATTTTTTTTCTTGCTTTCCTCCTCTAAAAACTAGGTGCTTCTTATGGTCAGGTGCATCTTATGGAGCGAAAAATATGGTACATACTACTCCAATGAGAGCCGCACATCCGCTCTACTGGGAATGATCAAGGTGGTCATTCCGGATTTCTGTCTCCTCGCAGGCCTGTGGGCAGAAATACAAGGGGAATTTGCCCTTTTGAGACAGCAGCACATATCCACGTGGCTATGCAATTCTCATATCAGGCCAGCCAACTCGCCTGGTCGCCACTGGCGAGCAACCATTGCCTCCAGGTGACCTGGCAGGAAAGTCCTTGCAAGCTGGGAGAGAGCGGACTCCTCCTTTTTTAACTTTTCAGGCCTGCCCACAAGTGGCTGATACCTGTGGGCAGTACGCAAACCGTCTAGTACCTTTGATCAGCTGGGGGTGCAATGTCCGTGTCCCCCCCAAATTTGGTGACTGCTTCTTGGATTTTTCACCTATCTTAAAAGAGCAGAAACCATGAATGGTGGTGCGGTCACTACATTAAAAACCCAAGGAGACCCCGCTGGATTAGGCCAATGGCCCATCTAGTCCAGCAAGTGTCTGGTTCTTACATTGGCCAACCAGACGCCCCAATGGGAATCCGATAATCAGGATTCGAACACAAGACCTTCCTGCGGTTTCCATCAACTGTTATTCAGAAACATTGCAGTGGAGGCAGAGCCTAGCAGTCCTGGCTAATAGCCATTGCAAGCCCTCTCTTCCACAAATTTGCCCAGTCTTCTTTCAGAGTCACCCAGGCTGGTGGTGGTCATTGCTGTCTCCAGTGGGCATGAGTTCCAGAGGTTAACCATGCAGCTTAAGCCAGCTGCTTCTTTCTGACCAGGGAAAATGTTTGCTTGCAAGCACTTCGGCCTGTTCCTTGGACTATGGATGATTTACAGGGCCGGGATGGGGGTGGGGGAAGTCCATCTGGACCCCCTCCAGTACCAGCTCCTCAGAAGGCAGAAATGCCTCACTGCAGACGATCGGATCCTTTCCGCTCCCAAGTTTCTAGCAGCTGAGAGTCTGTGGACCTTTTCGAGCTCAGCCTCCTCGAAACCCGGCGGAGGCAACTGCGGAAGAGGGACGTCCGGAAAATAATGAAGACCCAGGGGTCCACGATGGAGTTCACGGAGAAGAAGCGCAGGGCGGTGAGGTCCGCCTTCTCGTCGAAATCGGGGGCAAATGCGCCGACGTAAGCACGGACCTGTGGGAGGGGAGGGAGACAGGTTGAAAAACTCACTTGCGGAGTATTATTGTGACTACTACTTCATAGAATAATAATAATAATAATAATAATAATAATAATAATTTATTATTTATACCCTGCCCATTTGGCTGGGCTTCCCCAGCCACTCTGGGGGGCTTCCAACAAAATATTAAAATACCGTAATGCATCAAACATTAAAAGCTTCCCTAAACAGGGCTGTCTTCAGATGCCTTCTAAAAGTCTGGTAGTTGTTGTTCTCTTTGATATCTGGTGGGAGGGTGTTCCACAGAGTGGGCGCCACCACCAAGAAGGCCCTCTACCTGGTTCCCTGTAACTTGGCTTCTCGCAGCGAGGGAGCCGCCAGAAGGCCCTCAGCGTTGGACCTCAGTGTCTGGGCAGAACGATGGGGGTGGAGACATCCTTCTGACTGGGTTTCCCCATCCACTCTGGGCAGCTTCCAACAAAAGATTAAAAATACATTAAGACATCAGCCTAAACAGGGCTGCCTTCAGATGTCTTCTAAACATCAGATAGTTGTTTATTTCCTTGACATCTGCTTGGAGGGCGTACCACAGGGCGGGCGCCACCAGCAAGAAGGCCCTCTGCCAGGTTCCCTGTAGCTTTGCTTCTTGCAGTGAGGGAACCGCCAGAAGGCCCCCAGTGCTGGACCTCAGTGTCTGGGCTGAACGATGGGGGTGGAGACACTCCTTTAGTTATACTGGGCCGAGGCCGTTTAGGGCTTTCAAGGTCAGCACCAACACTTTGAATTCTGCTCAGAAACTTACTGGGAGCCAATGTTGGTCTTTCAAGACCGGTGTTATGTGGTCTTCCAGTCCCCAGTCTAGCTGCCGCATTCTGGATTAGTTGCAGTTTCCGGGTCACCTCCAAAGGTAGCCCCACGTAGAGCGCATTGCAGTAGTCCAAGTGGGAGATAACTAGAGCGTGCAGCACTCTGGCGAGACAATCCATGGGCAGGGAGGGTCTCATTCTGCGTACCAGATGGAGCTGGTAGACAGCCGCCCTGGACACAGAATTAACCTGTGCCTCCATGGACAGCTGTGAGTCCAAAATGACTCCCAGGCTGCGACCTGGTCCTTCAGGGGCACAGTTGCCCCATACAGGACCAGGGAGTCCTCCACACCAACCTGCCCCCTGTCCCCCAAGAACAGTACTTCTGTCTTGTCAGGATTCAACCTCAATCTGTTAGCTGCCATCCATCCTCCAACAGCCTCCAGACACTCACAGAAGCATAGAATTTCAGAGTTGGAAGGGGCTAGAATCATCTATTCCAACCCCTTGCAATGCAGGAAAATGCAGATGTCCCAAACGGGGATTCAACCTGCAATCTTGGCATTATCAGCACCACGCTCTAACCAACTGAGCTTTCCTGTTGGTTCGTTTATTACCTGCCCTTCTTCAACATCACGTCCCAGGACAGATTTACATCTATTTAAAACTCACTACGTATTGAATAACAATGACAAACCTAGACAGCATCTTAAAAAGCAGAGACATCATCTTGCCATATAGTTAAAGCTATGGTTTTCCCAGTAGTGATGTATGGAAGTGAGAGCTGGACCATAAAGAAGGCTGGTCGCCGAAGAACTGATGCTTTTGAATTCTGGTGCTGGAGGAGACTCTTGAGAGTCCCATGGACTGCAAGAAGATCCAACCTCTCCATTCTGAAGGAAATCAGCCCTGAGTGCTCACTGGAAGGACAGATCCTGAAGCTGAGGCTCCAAGACTTTGGCCACCTCGTGAGAAGAGAAGACTCCCTGGAAAAGACCCTGATGTTGGGAAAGATGGAGGGCAGAAGGAGAAGGGGACGACAGAGGACGAGATGGTTGGACAGTGTTCTTGAAGCTACCAGCATGAGTTTGACCAAACTGTGGGAGGCAGTGGAAGACAGAAGTGCCTGGCGTGCTCTGGTCCAGGGGGTCACGAAGTGTTGGACACAATTAAACGACTAAACAACAACAACAAGAATAATAATAATCTATTCCAACCCCTTGCAATGCAGGAATATGCAGATGTCCCAAACGGGGATTCAACCCGCAACCTTGGCATTATCAGCACCACACTCTAACCAACTGAGCTTTCCTGTTGGTCGGTTACCTGCCCTTCTGTAACATCAGGTCCCAGGACAGATTTACATCAATTTAAAACTTGGTACGTATTGAAAAACAGTTCATCTAAAAGACAAACCACAGGGAAAGGGGTGTATCCCAGAAACACCTGTCTTGGCCATCAAAGGCCGGGGTAGAGAGCTACATCTTCAGCATTACATTGCAGAGGCAGTGGGGGTGTAGTGGTTAGAGCGTATGACCTGGGAGACACGGGTTCGAATCTACCACTCAGCCATGGGTGACCTTGGGCCAGCCGCTGCCTCTCAGCCTAACTTACCTCGCAGGGTTGTTGAGAAATGGGAATCCGCGACCAGAAAGAAGAGGAGTTTCAAGAGGACTGGAGGAAATTTAAGGACTGTTTGAATAAATATTGTCATATAAAAAATTAGAAATTACTTGAAAGAAAACAAAAAGGCCTAGGATGAAACTACGTTATAATTAAATAAATGGGATTTAGAATGTTAAGAAAAGTGAATAAGATGGACTATAATTGGAAATTGTTTTAGTTTAATAATGATATTGGAAAGCTGTTACTTTTAACTACAAGGAAACTCAGAAGGGAGGCACTTGAGGACGTCAACCAAGATGTTTAAAAGGTTGGATTTGTGAAGAATTAAGTTTGTTGTCACTGTTTATTTGTTTATTGTTCCTTTTTTTCCCCTTCTCTTTTTCTGTTTTTGTGTATCATTCTGCTTTTGTTATTGTGGAAAATCTAATAAAATTATATATATATATATATATATATATGAGAGGATAAAATGGGGAGGAGGTGAATTATGCAGGCCACCTTGAGCAAAGTTGGGTGGTGGTGGGGAAGGTAGTATATCATACCGTACAACTTTTGGAGGTTGAAAACCAGGACACCTGCTTTTTAACAACCACACGGTGTATAAATTTTATGGAATAAATTGGTAATGGATAGCAACATCTGGAGAGTCGCTATCCCAAAAGCCACTGAAATATTGTAAGCAAGAATTGCAAAAAAAAAACAAAAAACCACTTTGCTTTGGTTTTTCGGCCGCCTGCATGTGCAAAGAGCTCCCCCTGGTGGGTAAAGTTGGTGTTTGCTCAGTTCTGTCTCAAAACTGTTTCTTTGAAGGGGCTTCCATGGAATCAGAGTTGGAAGGGACCACCAGAGTCATCCAGTCCAACCCCCTGCAATGCAGGAATCTCAACTGAAGCATCCATGACAGATGGCCATCCAACCTCTGCTTAAAAACCTCCAAGGAAGGAGAGTCCACCGCCTCCAGAGGGAGACCGTACCACCATCAGAAGACATTTGAAGGCAGCCCTGAATAAGGAAGGTTTTTTGTTTGGTTTAATGTTTTATTATGTTTTTATAATTTGTCGGAAGCTGCCCAGAGCGGCTGGGGCAAGCCAGTCAGATGGGCAGAGTATTATTTGAAATATACTCAGAGTCGAGAGTGGATTTCATGCTCTTTATTCAGCTCATAGTGGTGAGGAGGAATGGAAGTTCCCCCAGAATGTCTGCTTTATATACATTATTTACACAATGGGCCCCATGTGATTGGCTAATTCTGGGATTCTCCTGTAGGCCAATCAGGTTGTGGATTCACTTCCACCTGGAACTGGATTGGGTGGCTCCTGTGGATCAATCAGACTGCTGCATTCTGGATCCTATTGTTCTAGGACCAATCAGATTGCTGCATTCTGAATCTTATTGTTCTAGGACCAATCAGACTGCTGCATTCTGGATCCTATTGTTCTGGGACCAATCAGACTGCTGCATTCTGGATCTTATTGTTCTAGGACCAATCAGACTGCAGCATTCTGGATCCTATTGTTCTAGGACCAATCAGGCTGCTGCATTTTGGATACTATTCAACTCCGTACATAAAAACATTATTATTATTATTATTATTATTATTAGTATTATTATTATATTGGACATCCCTATTTTCATATGCACACTTGCAGTCTAAAGTGCTTCTCAGGTGCTTTTCTGGAACATGAGAATTGGCTCCAAGTCTCCCTGCGTTCGTTCCAGGAGGGTCGTCCTGCTATATATCTAAGTACAGTGGGACCTTGGTTATCAAACGCCCTGGTACTCAAACAACTTGGAAGCCAAACACTGCCAACCCGGAAGTGTTTCAGTTTGCAAACTTTTTCCGGAAGCCAAATGTGCTCTGTTTTGCGTGTTACGCTTCCGATTTGAGTGCCACACTTCCATTTTGAGTGTTAACACTGAGGTCTGTCTGTTTTTGCTATTTATTTTGGCGGCTCTTTTTCGTTTTGTTTTTGTGACTGTGTGGAACCCAGTTCAGCTACTAATTGACCGATTGTGTGACTGCAGTACATTATTGCTTTCATTTTATGGATCAATGGTCTCGTTAGATAGTAAAATCCATGTTAAATTGCTGTTTTAGGGGTTGTTTTTAAAAGTCTGGAACGGATTAATCTGTTTTGCATTGCTTTCTATGAGAAAGCACGCCTTGGTTTTGGAACGGACTTCTGGAACAGATTAAGTTTGAGAACCAAGGTACCACTGTAGTGGGATTTGGAATAGATGTGAAATTAACTGTCACCATTTTCAATTTTGTTGCCTTATTATCATCTTGACTGGGTCGTGCAAACCACTATTCTAAATAATGCCTTTTGTGGGGGCGGCATTGGGGATGAGTTTGTGGAACTAAGGAAGCAGGGGCTCCGCGGGCGTTACAGCCACCCTTGAAATTGGCCAAGGCTGGACTCTGACGCACCAACCTCAACATTTGCTCTTCTCGAAAATGTCTCCAATGACCTCTTGACAACCTCCAACCTCCTCTCTTTAGAATCCTGGCCTTAAAAGGGCTCAGAACGTCCACGTGAGGCTCTGGTTCTCCGCAGGCATTTAACAGCTTTCCAAAAACAATGTAACTGCAGCAGTCCTGTAAAAACTCCCCCAAACTGTTTTCCGGCTAAGAGATCTGACACAAGACAACAAAAAGCTGAAGATGCTTATAGTTAAGGCTCTGCTAATATATACCATCTCTTCGGACAGGCCGATAAGCAGATAGTCCCTTTTCTGGATCTGCGGTTCCCAAATGCTTTTAGCAGGCACCAGAAAGAGCACAGCGGAGGCGCCTGCCTGGTATCATGAGGCAGGGAGTTCCAAAGTGCACAAAAAGATGAAGTTCCTGCAAATGGAGAACGGGTATTGTGTGGCACTGGTAACAGCGCCAGTTCCGCAGACCGAATCAGCCCGACTGGCACATAAGAGGTGCAGCAATCTTCCAGGTAAACTGGTCCCAAGTTGCTAAGGACTTTCCTAAAACCTTGAACTCAGCCTGGTAGAAAATTAGCAACTGGCGCAGACCTCCAAGTACAGGTGTTATCTGTTGGCAAGCCCTCGCTCCTGCCAGCTATCGGCCCTAGCCACAGCTTCTGGGTCAAGCACAAGGGAAGCCCCACCTAGTTCACAGTTTTGTGATTGTGTTTTTATTTCTTTTATTCAATTTGTATACCACCCTCCATCTGAAGATCTCAGGGCCTATCTGCTGTCTTATGGTGCCTGAAACAGCCCTTATTTTAGTTCCCACAACTGTTACAGTGGTACCTTGGTTCTCAAACTTAATCCGTTCCGGAAGTCCGTTCCAAAACCAAAGCGTTCCAAAACCAAGGCACGCTTTCCCATAGAAAGTAATGCAAAACGGTTTCATCCATTCCAGACTTTTAAAAACAACCCCTAAAACAGCAATTAACATGAATTTTGCTATCCAACAAGACCAAGGATCCATAAAATGAAAGCAATAATGTACTGCAGTCACACAACCAGCCAATCAGTTGCCAAAAAGTACAAGTAGATAAATAGGTACCGCTCTGGTGGGAAGGTAAACGGTGTTTCCGTGCGCTGCTCTGGTTTGCCAGAAGCGGCTTAGCCATGCTGGCCACATGACCCGGAAGCTGTACGCAGGCTCCCTCGGCCAATAAAGCGAGATGAGCGCCGCAACCCCAGAGTCGGTCACGACTGGACCTAATGGTCAGGGGTCCCTTTACCTTTTTACAGAAGCAGAAGAAAAGGAGGTTTGGGAAATGTTTTAAGGATTGGGAAGTTAAGGAAATCCTACCCGACACTGGCGGAGAAAATGGCGCAGGGTAAAAGCGTGATGAGTGAATCAGCATATTAGAAAATCTACTGAGTAAATGAGAACGGGAAAGATACATGAATAAAAGGTAGAAAAAACAAACTTATACGTGCGAGATAAGACAATGTTTCAAACGCCCATGGAATTTAGTAGTTACACCCGAGAGAAAGTCGGAACTTTGTATCCATTACTGAGATACCTCTGGAAACACCATTTGGGAAATAGTATCGAACGCAAGGACTTTTTGTATCTATATGAATGTTTGAGAACCAAGGTACCACTGCATTTGGTTGGGTGGAGGAAGGTGGGGCAAGGGGGGGGGTGGCTGGAAGGGAAATGATTCCCTGCGCCTTGGCTTGGCTCTCCATCGCAGTGCACAGCCTGGTGATTCAGCTGCGGTTCCTGCTTTGCAGAGGGTTGGACTAGATGACCCCTGGGTGTCCCTGGAGTTCTATGAAATCAACAAAATTAACCAATTAACTTGATCCAAGGAAACCAGTTTTTCAAAGTCTCAGGGTCATTTATACCTCCAAAGCCCCCTGCGTCTTAGCACCCCGCAGGGAATCCCAACATCCCCTCAGCAATCTGGTAGCCACATTTTGAACTCACGGTACAGTGGTGCCTTGGTTCTCAAACGCTGAAAACCCTGAAGTAAGTGTTCCGGTTTTTGAATGTTTTTTCGGAAGCTGAACGCCCAATGCAGCTGTTGGCTATTATTTCCGGGGCACTTGCACCAATCAGAAGCTGCACCTTGGTTTTCAAACATTTTGGAAGTCAAACGGACTTCTGGAACGGATGAAGTTTGGCGCTTTTGTTTTTGCTATTTATTTTGTGTTTTTGTTTTTGAGGCTTTCTCGGTTAATATGTTTTTCTGACTGTGTGGAACCCAGTTCAGCTACTGATTGATTGTGTGACTGCAGAAATGGATACAAGCCCCCCCATCCAAACAATGACTGTCATCAGTGCAGGTAAGGAAAAAAAATTATTTAATTTTTTTATCATCTACAATATTGTCTTATTTATTTTATAGTACGTTGATTATTGCTTTCATTTTATGGATCAATGGTCTCATTAGATAGTAAAATCCATGTTAATTGCTGTTTTAGGGGTTGTTTTTAAAAGTCTGGAATGGATTAATCCGTTTTGCATTACTTCCTATGGGAAAGCACGCTTTGGTTTTGGAACACTTTGATTTGGAGCGGACTTCCGGAACGGATTAAATTTGAGAAAATACCACGGTATTTTCCAAGGACTCTTGTTCCCTCCTCCCAGTAATGTTTCTCCAGGAGGACACAAGTTTCTTGCATTGATTTCCACAATTTATATACCGTTTATTTATTTAGTAAATTTGAATCCCGCCCTTTGTCTCAAAGGAGGCCAGGGCGCCAGACAACATGCAGTGAAACATCTCCAAAACAATTCCATTGCAGATGCCGTTCTCGGAAAGATCTCAGCTTCAAAGGCTGGTTGTAATTCAAGATAACAATCAGTTAAAACTGTTTTAAAAAACAACAACCAGACACTGCAGAGCCACTGCTGTTAGATTGCTGGGCTAGGACCTTGGAGACGAGGGTTAAATACTCACTAGGTGACCCTGGGAGGTCAATCGGCTGCTTTTAGCCTAGCCTACCTCTCAGGGTTCTTGTGCAGATAACGTGGGGAGAAAGAAGGGTATTATGTATGCCCCCTTGAGTTTTTCAGAGGAAAGAAGGTGAGATAACAACAACAACAATTTATTTACAACAACAACAACAATTTATTTATATCCCGCCCTCCCCAGCTGAAGCCGGGCTCAGAGCGGCTAACAACAGTAAAATACTGTATTTTTTGCTCTATAAGACTCACTTTTTCCCTCCTTAGAAGGAAGGGGAAATGTGTGTGCATCTTATGGAGTGAATGCAGGCTGCGCAGCTATCCCAGAAGCCAGAACAGCAAGAGGGATTGCTGCTTTCACTGCGCAGCGATCCCTCTTGCTGTTCTGGCTTCTGAGATTCAGAATATTTTTTTTCTTGTTTTCCTCCTCCAAAAACTAGGTGTGTTTTATGGTCTGGTGCGTCTTATAGAGCGAAAAATACGGTAGTACAACATTCTAAAACCATTTCATTCTAAAATCAGTTCAAATCAAATTAATGGCAACCATTGGGCCAGAGTTCTGTGAGGACTGCCAAAGGAGGGGGTCAGACTGTGCCTTGGCCAAAGGCCTGTTGGAACAGCTCCGTCTTGCAGGCCCTGCGGAAAGATGTCAAGTCCCGCAGGGCCCTGGTCTCTTGTGACAGAGCGTTCCACCAGATTGGAGCCACAGCTGAAAAAGCCCTGGCTCTGGTTGAGGCCAGCCTAACCTCCCTGTGGCCTGGGACCTTCAAGATATTTTTGTTTGAAGACCGTAAGGTCCTCCGTGGGACATACCAGGAGAGGCGGGCCCGTAGGTCCGAGGGTCCTAGGCCGCATAGGGCTTTAAAGGTTAAAACCAGCACCTTAAACCTGATCCTGTTCCCCACTGGGAGCCAGTGCAGCTGGTATAGCACCGGATGAATGTGACCCCGCAGCGAGGACCCCATAAGGAGTCTCGCCGCAGCATTCTGCACCTGCTGGAGTTTCTGGGTCAGTCTCAAGGGCAGCCCCACGTAGAGTGAGTTACAATAATCCAGTCTGGAGGTGACCGTCGTGTGGATCACAGTGGCTAGGTCAGGGCGAGAGAGGTAAGGGGTCAACTGCTTAGCTTGGCGGAGATGAAAAAATGCCGCCTTTGTTATATATACAGTGGTACCTCTGGTTGCGAACGGGATCCATTCCGGAGGCACGTTCGCAACATGAAAAGAAAGCAATCCGCAGCGGCGCGCCTGCGCCTGTGCAGGCGCAGGTTGCGATTTGCTGCTTCTGTGCATGCGTGTGATGTCATTTTGCGCTTCTGTGCATGCGTGAGTAGAGAAACCCGGAAGTAACCCTTTCTGGTACTTCCGGGTTGCCGCAGGACGTAACCTGAAAGAACGTAACATGAAGCGGATGTAACGTGAGGTATGACTGTAAATGTAATACAGTGGTACCTCAGGTTACAGATGCTTCAGGTTACAGACTCCGCTAACCCAGAAATAATCCCTCAGGTTAAGAACTTTGCTTCAGGATGAGAACAGAAATCACGCGGCGGCAGCGGGGGGCAAAATTAGCTAGAGTGGTACCTCAGGTTAAATCAAAAAATCAACTAGAATTAAACAAAGACTTAACGAGATGCCGGCTACAAAACTCATTTCACTGAACTAATCAGTTTCCTCAGAAGGAAATAAAGAAATGATAAGATTTTAAGTGATATCAAACAAGCTCAAGAGCAGGGCTGAAAATGCTTCCTCGAGTTTACAAAGAAGGTATGAAAACCTCAATGACAAAAGAAGGTATGAAAACCTCACTGACAAATACCCCCTCCTCTTGGTTCATGTGGGAACCAATGACACTGCAAGCAATAGCCTCCAGAAGATCAAAAGAGACTACGAGGCTCTGGGCAGGAAATTGAAGCAATTACATGCACAAATTGTCATCTCATCTGTCCTCCCAGTTGAACGACGTGGCCCAGGGAGAGAGGGAAAATAGTGGAAGTGAACAGCTGGCTTCGCAAATGGTGTAAACAGGAACGGTTTGGATTCTTAGATCACGGACTGCAGTTTCTTGAAGATGGACTTCTGGCAAGCGATGGGCTGCACCTCACAACGGTTGGGAGAAATGTTTTTGCCAAAAAACTCAGAAACCTCATCAGGAGGGCTTTAAACTGACTAATGTGGGGGAGGGAGACAGTGCTCCTGAAGGTAGGAGTCTATCAATTGATGAAGATGATCATCCAAATGTCATAGACCAAATGGAGCAAACAGCACGCAGACCTAGTGGTGGGAGGAAAAAATCCTTAAATAAGAGGCACGGGGGAATGATTAATGAACTTCAATGTCTGTACACTAATGCGCAAAGCATGGGAAATAAACAAGATGAGCTTGAGCTCTTGGTACAGCAAACTAAATATGACATAATAGGCATCACTGAAACCTGGTGGGATAAGTCCCACGATTGGAATGTAATAATGGGGGATACAATCTATTTCAGAGAAACAGACCAGACAAGAAAGGAGGAGGAGTGGCGTTATATGTCAGGGATGTGTATACCTGTGAAGAGATCCAAGATTTAGAACCTCAAAGCCAAAGTGAGAGCATTTGGGTCAAAATTAAGGGAGAGAAGAATAACAGTGACCTCATTGTGGGAGTTTACTATAGATCCCCAAGCCAAACGGAGGACATAGATGATGCCTTCCTGGAACAGATGGCCAAGCATGCAAAAGGAAGGGAGATAGTAGTAATGGGGGACTTCAATTACCCAGATATTTGTTGGATGTCAAACTCAGCCAAGAGCATAAGGTCAAACAGATTCCTCACTGGCCTTGCAGACAACTTCATTGTCCAGAAAGTGGGAGAAGCAACAAGAGGAACAGCCATTTTAGATCTGGTCCTAACCAATGTTGATGACCTGGTTAGTGGGGTAGAAGTGGAAGGATCATTAGGCGCGAGTGATCATGCTCTTCTGAAGTTTACTATACAGCAGAAAGGAGCAGCCAAGCATACTAGGACTCAATTTCTTGACTTTAAGAAAGCCGACTTCATAAAACTTAGGGAAGTGCTGGGTGAGATCCCATGGACAGTAATACTAAAAGGAAAGGGAGTTCATGATGGCTGGGAGTTTGTTAAGAGGGAGATAGTAAAAGCACAACTTCAGGCAATACCAATGAGACGGAAACATGGAAGGTGCCTAAAGAAGCCAGGGTGGCTATCTAAAGAACTTGTAACCGAGTTAAGATTAAAAAAGGATGTGTACAAAAAATGGAAAAGGGGGGAAACCACCAAAGAGGAATTCAAACAAATAGCCAGCACGTGTAGACACAAAGTCAGAAAAGCTAAAGCACAGAATGAACTCAGGCTTGCTAGAGAGGTTGAAAGCAACAAAAAAGGCTTTTATGGGTATGTTCGTAGCAAAAGGAAGAACAAAGAAACAGTGGGGTCACTCAGAGGAGAGGATGGTGAAATGCAAACAGGGGACACAGAAAGGGCTGAACTCCTCAATGCTTTCTTTGCCTCAGTCTTCTCCGATAAAGAAAACAATGCCCGACCTGAAGAATTTGGAGCAAATGATTCAGCAAAGGAAACACAGCCCAGAATAACTAAGGAGATAGTACAAGAATACTTGGCTAGTTTAGATGTATTCAAGTCTCCAGGGCCAGATGAACTGCATCCAAGAGTATTAAAAGAACTGGCAGATGTGATCTCAGAACCACTGGCAGTCATCTTTGAGAATTCCTGGAGAACAGGCGAAGTCCCAGCAGACTGGAGGAGGGCAAATGTTGTCCCTATTTTCAAAAAGGGAAAAGAGAGGACCCAAATAATTACTGCCCAGTCAGTCTGACATCAATACCAGGGAAGATTCTGGAGCAGATCATTAAGCAAACAGTCTATGAGCACCTAGAAAGGAATGCTGTGATCACCAATAGTCAGCATGGATTTCTGAAAAATAAGTCATGTCAGACTAACCTGATCTCGTTTTTGACAGAATTACAAGCCTGGTAGATGAAGGGAACGCAGTGGATGTAGCCTACCTTGATTTCAGCAAGGCATTTGACAAGGTGCCCCATGATATTCTTGTAAAGAAGCTGGTAAAATGCGGTCTTGACTATGCTACCACTCAGTGGATTTGTAACTGGCTGACTGACCGAACCCAAAGGGTGCTCATCAATGGTTCCTCTTCATCCTGGAGAAGAGTGACTAGTGGGATGCCACAGGGTTCTGTCTTGGGCCCGGTCTTATTCAACATCTTTATCAACGACTTGGATGATGGACTCAAGGGCATCCTGATCAAATTTGCAGATGACACCAAACTGGGAGGGGTGGCTAACACCCCAGAGGACAGGATCACACTTCAAAACGACCTTGACAGATTAGAGAACTGGGCCAAAACAAACAAGATGAACTTTAACAGGGAGAAATGTAAAGTATTGCACTTGGGCAAAAAAAAGGAGAGGCACAAATACAAGATGGGTGACACCTGGCTTGAGAGCAGTACATGTGAAAAGGATCTAGGAGTCTTGGTTGACCACAAACTTGACATGAGCCAACAGTGTGACGCGGCAGCTAAAAAAGCCAATGCAATTCTGGGCTGCATCAATAGGAGTATAGCATCTAGATCAAGGGAAGTAATAGTGCCACTGTATTCTGCTCTGGTCAGACCTCACCTGGAGTACTGTGTCCAGTTCTGGGCACCACAGTTCAAGAAGGACACTGACAAACTGGAACGTGTCCAGAGGAGGGCAACCAAAATGGTCCAAGGCCTGGAAACGATGCCTTATGAGGAACGGCTAAGGGAGCTGGGCATGTTTAGCCTGGAGAAGAGGAGGTTAAGGGGTGATATGATAGCCATGTTCAAATATATAAAAAGGATGTCACATAGAGGAGGGAGAAAGGTTGTTTTCTGCTGCTCCAGAGAAGCGGACACGGAGCAATGGATCCAAACTACAAGAAAGAAGATTCCACCTAAACATTAGGAAGAACTTCCTGACAGTAAGAGCTGTTCGGCAGTGGAATTTGCTGCCAAGGAGTGTGGTGGAGTCTCCTTCTTTGGAGGTCTTTAAGCAGAGGCTTGACAACCATATGTCAGGAGTGCTCTGATGGTGTTTCCTGCTTGGCAGGGGGTTGGACTCGATGGCCCTTGTGGTCTCTTCCAACTCTATGATTCTATGATTCTATTCTATGATTCTAAGTTTTAAACATAGCCCTATTCTCTTAAATAGCCCTATTCTCTTAAAATTCTGTTATTCTATAGTCGATTACTTCTTGTTTCAGGGATTTTCACGATACTTTCTTTTGTTCTGTGTAAATCCTCTTTCAAACCTAGCTGCTGGTGGATCGGGGCCACTGGGGACCACCGACAGGGACTCCCTCAATCAAGCATCCCTTGAGACACCCTGGTCCCAAGTTGGGAAGGGCCTTGCCAGTTGACCCAAGACCTTGAACCTTGCCCAGGAGAAGACAGGAAAGGACAGTTTCAGAATGGGGTCAGCGGCTCAAAAATAGCCGCTCTCGCTCAAAAGACTTGCCTGCATTTGACAATCTGCCAGATGAATCAGATCTGGCACCAAATCTGGCCAAGCCTGAAGACTTTTACGCCGGTTGGCAAACATCCATTTCTCGTGTTAACAGGGTTCCTGCTGTTCCTGGGCCACTGTACTCTCAACGTTCAGTTCTGAAAAGACACTTCGGCTGACATTGACTTCCTTCTTCTGTCTCCTTGAGAAAATGTCCTTTAAAGCATGGGGGGGGGGGGCAGGCTGGCAGACCAGATGGTTCTCACTCCTAACCCTGCCCTGGTGGCCAAATTTGAAATATGGGCAGAGAAATCTAAATTTAAGATGGGTATTTACAAGCTGGAGGAGACTCTTGAGAGTCCCATGGACTGCAAGCCGATCAAACCTCTCCATTCTGAAGGAAATCAGCCCTGAGTGCTCACTGGAAGGACAGATCCTGAAGCTGAGGCTCCAAGACTTTGGCCTCCTCATGAGAAGAGAAGACTCCCTGGAAAAGACCCTGATGCTGGGAAAGATGGAGGGCACAAGGAGAAGGGGATGACAAAGGATGAGATGGTGGGGCAGTGTTCTGGAAGCTACCAGCATGAGTCTGTCCAAACTGCAGGAGGCAGTGGAAGACAGGAGTGCCTGGCATGCTCTGGTCCAGGGGGTCACGAAGAGTCGGACACGACTAAACGACTAAACAACAACAACAACATTTACAAGCTGGAATGTAATTCAGAGAAGGGCAACCAAGATGGCCCAGGACCTGGATACAACACCTTATGAAGAACGGTTGAGGGAGTTGGGGAGGTTTAGCTTGGAAAAGAGGAGACTGGGAGGAGAAAGGATAGTCATCTTCTGATGGCCTGTCACATGGAGGATGGAGAAAGCTTGTTTTCTCCTGCTCCAGAGGGGTGGACTCAAATCAGTGGGTTCACGTTACAAGAAAGGAGATTCTGACTCAACATCAGTACAAACAACAACAACAACAACAACAATTTATTATTTATACCCTGCCCATCTGGCTGGGTTTCCCCAGCCACTCTGGGCGACTCCCAACAGAATACAGCGGTACCTCAGTTGCCGAACGTAATCCGTTCCGAAAGACCGTTCAACTTCTGAAACGCTCGACAACCGAGGAGCGATGGGCTGTCGGCAAATTCAATGGAGAAAATTGACAAACGCGCCTCAGAAGCCGTTCGACTTGCGAGGTGCGTTCGAAAGCGGAAGCAATTACTTCTGGGTTTTCGGCGTTCAAAAACTGAAATGTTCTGCTTCTGAGACGCTAAAAAACCGAGGTTCCACTGTATTAAAAACACGACAAAACATCAGACATTAAAAACTTCCCTAAACTGGGCTGCCTTCAGATGCCTTCTAAAAGTCAAAGAGTTGTTTATTTCCTTGACATCTGATGGGAAGGCGTTCCACAGGGCGGGCGCCACCACCGAGAAGGCCCTCTGCCTGGTTCCCAGTTTGATGGTGGAACAGACTCAGAAAGTGCTGGCCTTGGAGCCAGACGTGCTGAGGAGATTTCACCCCTCCCATATCCAAGAATCTCCTGAGGAGTCTGCTGATTCTCCAGAGAGGAGGAGGCGTGTTCTGCTCTCTACTTATTCTGCTCCAGCACCAAGTCAGTCAGTCAGTCAGTGTCGGAGAGAGAGAGAGACTGAGTGTTAGAGATCGTGTGTAGAGATAAGGTTGCTGCTAAGAGCAGCTGCAGACACTCAGTGCAGTGCAGCATTCATTTATGCTTAGACCTATTTAGCTCTGTATATAGTTGTAGTTATAGAATAAAGAAGATATTCTACAGAGCTGCTCTCCAAGTTGTTTATATACTCTGCTAGACTCTGCTGTACTCCCCTGTGCGACGACTGTCTTCTTGTGGAAGTGAATCCGGTGCTCACAACTCTAAGCTGTGAGTCCACAGCACTTTGACCTGTTCCTGTGGAGAAGGTGGTCTCTGGAAGTGCTACCCAGCTCGCCTATCCCAGTCGGGGCTGAAGTGGATGAGTCCAGTTGGTGGTACTGGCTCAAGGGCGATGCTGACACGTGCACCCCACCCTCAGAACAGCTGGATTCTGCAGCTCTGGGCGCAGAAGACCAGAAGGAGAGCCCTGTTGGATCAGGCGAATGGTGCTTCTGTTCCACCATCCTGTTCTCACAGAGGCCAACCAGATGGTTGCGGAAAACCAGCGAGCAGAGAGTTCTCTTCCTTCCTTTGCTTTCCAAAAACTGGTACCCAGAATGACTGCTGCTTCCAGCTGTGGTGGTCAGAGCCCAGCCATTGTGGCTGGTAGCCTTTGCTATACATTTTACCCTGGTGGGGAAGCCTGTGGCCAGGTGACTTCCTTGCTCTGCTAACTTTTGATGGGTAACTCCAATGTCTCTGCAGATCTCCCTTCTCAGAGTTGTTTAACTTTAAATAGATCCGGGACACCACACAATTAAAATGCTCTTATATCACTTGAAACAGCCGTGGCTTTCCCCAAAGAATCCTGGAAGCTGTAGTTTGTTAAGCTGTTAGAATGCCCCATTTCCCCCCTCCCAGAACTACGGTTCCCAGGGAAGAGGTATTGATTGTCAAACAGAAGAGTGTCTTCTGTAAAGGGAAGGGATTCAATCTCCCCAGGGCCTAATTTGCAGGTTTATGGGGAAGACTCCTGTGATAATGTACACCAAAGGCTCTGAATGCTGAAAGCACTGTAATAAATCTGAACTATTACAGCAATTACTACTATTACTACTCCGAGCCAATGGCTTCAAGTTACAAGAAAATGGAAATTCTGACCAGGGACGGATTTAGGTTTGATGAGGCCCTAAGCTACTGAAGGTAATGTCCAGCTGTCCTTTGTCAACAACAAATTGCTGCTGTTTTTTGGGTTGAATATATGCGTATAGTTAAAGCTATGGTTTTCCCAGTAGTGATGTATGGAAGTGAGAGCTGGACCATAAAGAAGGCTGATCACCGAAGAATTGATGCTTTTGAATTATGGTGCTGGAGGAGACTCTTGAGAGTCCCATGGACTGCAAGAAGATCCAACCTCTCCATTCTGAAGGAAATCAGCCCTGAGTGCTCACTGGAAGGACAGATCCTGAAGCTGAGGCTCCAATACTTTGGCCACCTCATGACAAGAGAAGACTGCCTGGAAAAGACCCTGATGTTGGGAAAGATGGAGGGCACAAGGAGAAGGGGACGACAGAGGACGAGATGGTTGGACAGTGTTCTCGAAGCTACCAGCATGAGTTTGACCAAACTGCGGGAGGCAGTGGAAGACAGGAGTGCCTGCTGTGCTCTGGTCCAGGGGGTCACGAAGAGTCGGACACGAATAAATGACTAAACAACAACAACAACGTATGCTATAAGGTAATTTATGGACCCAATACAGTAGTTATCTAACCAGTGATATGTTAGGGAGCAGGCTAGCAGGCGGGGCCCATGACTTACATCACAGGAGCCTACACAACACAAAACACTGTTGCTGTATGTAGGTTTTATTTTGTTTTTTATCTTATATTTTGGAAATGTGCATCCAGTTTTTTTTCTTTCATTTTTTTGGGGGGCCCCAAAGAGTGGGGCCCTAAGCTAGAGCTTGTTTAGGGACCCCTGACTATTAGGTCCAGTCGTGGCCGACTCTGGGGTTGCAGCGCTCATCTCGCTTTATTGGCAGAGGGAGCCAGAGTACAGCTTCCAGGTCACGTGGCCAGCATGACTAAGCCGCTTCTGGCGAACCACTGCAGCGCACGGAAACGCCGTTTACCTTCCCGCTGGAGCGGTACCTATTTATCTACTTGCACTTTGACGTGCTTTCGAACTGCTAGGTTGGCAGGAGCAGGGACCGAGCAACGGGAGCTCACCCCGTGGCGGAGATTCGAACCGCTGACCTTCTGATCAGCAAGTCCTAGGCTCTACCTTATAAGTAAATCCGGCACTGATTCTGACTAAACATCAGGAAGAACTTTCTGACAGTAAGAGCTGTTCAACAGTGGAACAGTCTCCCTCTGGAAGTTGTGGACTCTCCTTCTTTGGAGGCTTTTAAGCAGAGGTTGAATGGCCATCTGTCAGGGATGCTTCGGTTGAGATGATATTTGGTCATTGATGATCTTGTTGAGATTCCTGCATTAGAATCATAGAATCATAGAATCATAGAGTTGGAAGAGACCACAAGGGCCATCGAGTCCAACCCCCTGCCAAGCAGGAAACACCATCAGAGCACTCCTGACATATGGTTGTCAAGCCTCTGCTTAAAGACCTCCAAAGAAGGAGACTCCACCACACTCCTTGGCAGCAAATTCCACTGTCAAACAGCTCTTACTGTCAGGAAGTTCTTCCTAATGTTTAGGTGGAATCTTCTTTCTTGTAGTTTGGATCCATTGCTCCGTGTCCGCTTCTCTGGAGCAGCAGAAAACAACCTTTCTCCCTCCTCTATGTGACATCCTTTTATATATTTGAACATGGCTATCATATCACCCCTTAACCTCCTCTTCTCCAGGCTAAACATGCCCAGCTCCCTTAGCCGTTCCTCATAAGGCATCGTTTCCAGGCCTTTGACCATTTTGGTTGCCCTCCTCTGGACACGTTCCAGTTTGTCAGTGTCCTTCTTGAACTGTGGTGCCCAGAACTGGACACAGTACTCCAGGTGAGGTCTGACCAGAGCAGAATACAGTGGGACTATTACTTCCCTTGATCTAGATGCTATACTCCTATTGATGCAGCCCAGAATTGCATTGGCTTTTTTAGCTGCCGCGTCACACTGTTGGCTCATTGCAGGGGGCTGGACTGGATGACCCTCAGGGGTCCCTTCCAACTCTACTATTTCATGATTCTATGCTCGTTTGCTCAGCCTTGGCTCTCATGGCTAGATGTGCCAGCCTCAAAGCCCGTTAACCACACATGGCAGGGCTACACAACTAGATTGTGATCTGGCTTTCCTAACTGAGGCCTCATCCTGCCCGCAAAGCGCACCAGGCAAGGGCCACAGGTAAGCCACTGCTACAGGAGGAGAAGGTTGCTGTCTTCACGCTGCCTTGTCTTGTGGGTCCTGCACATCATCTCTGCTGCAAACAGGATATTGGAGTTGATGGTCTCTTTTGTCAGACCCAGCAGGGCTGCCTTGATGACCAGAGATCTGTCTTAATCTTCTTTGCTCTGTTCCAGACATGCCATGTGCCTTGGCTAAAAAATGGATGCTGTTGGCCGGCAGCGCGAAACATTCTCCCGACTGTGTGCAAGTAACCAAAGCAAGTTCTCAAATGCATCAACATTAGTCAGTGTTCCCTCGCCGTCCCGTTCCAGAAATCAGTTAGTTAGCAGCTTTTGACTCGCAGCAAGCTGCAAAGAATCCGATAAATCTGAGCCTTGTCATTATCGGTGCTCCGAAAACAAAGCCGGAATGTTTTGCAGCTTAACCAAGAGAGAAGAGCAGCGAGCCTTTTCTGTTACCCAGAACCACTTCCCACGTCCAAACAGCCCAGAGGGCAGCTGTTCTTTCCATCCCCGCTCTTGTGCTAATCTCAGAGAGGTGTGATGTGATGATTCTCAAGAAAACCAGTGCAGGGTTCAGAGCCCTTAGCCACAACAGCGAGGCGCAGTCAAGGTCCGCTGTGATGTCCCATAGCAGGGTTAGGGTGTGACTTACAGGGCAATGGCTATGGGGCTTGGGAGATAAATGCTTCTGTTCTCTGGTGGGGCAGCGGGGGGAAGTTACAGCGACCTGATCAAATTCTCCTTTAGTCTCAGTCACTGCTGCAAGAGAACGCGAGTCATTTCAGAAAGCTAGGGAGAAAGAAAGGGCAGGTGGATCAGAGACCGGGAGAGGAGCCTACATTTTGCACCGTTTCAAATTCTGGTGGCATTTGCCCCACGTTGGGCAAAAGATTCCTGCACTGCTGGGGGCTGGACTAGATGACCCTCGTGGTCCCTTCCAACTCCACGATTCTACAAAATCTTCTACAAATGACAGAGAGGGGTTGTGTTAGTTTCTGTAGAAAGTAGCCTACTGCAAGGGGTGAATTTGACATTTCTTGTGTCCCCCTCTCTCAGTTTCAGCTCTGGTCACTACCAGCATGTGATCCCCATTTTCTTGCCCAGAAGCGAATGCAGCCCTCAGCCTGGGAAAAGTCCCCTGCCCCTTAGTTATGCATGCATGCGACTTACTCCCTAGCGCGTCCACTCCTGAAGCCTCCATTTCAAGTTTTCGCTTTGTGACTTGATTATAAATTGAGCTCAAACTGCACACACTACAAAACGTAAAGCGATACTTTTAGCATTTTCTCCTTCCCCCACCTTATTAGGCGAATAACTATTTAAAAGCCTGGAGTATCTTATATACACCCTGCTTTTCTAAAGCCCTTAAACCCAACAACATCTGCCGCAGGGAAAGCTGCAAAACTTCAGGTTGGGAGACTGCTGCTGAGCTAATCTGAGATGTGAAAAACAACCAGGTGTCCTTTTGAATGCACATGCATGATGATTTGTGCTCACGATGCTATCAGGGAGGTCACACGTGATCACGATTTCAACGCCGGTTGCACCTGCAAAAGCTTGGGGGCTGATCACGCGGCTTCATTCCCAGTTGGTGCGTATCTTCCTGCTGAAATCCTGTAATTTTTTTATACCACAAATGTTCTGTTTCATTTTCTTTGCTTCTTTTGCATGCACTGTGGCCCTCCTAGGCAGCAATAACGGGGCATGATTTGGGAAAGAGACACGGACCAAACCAAAGTGAGATAAATCCTCTGCTAATGAACTATTCTTGTGTCAAGAACATGCTGCAGAAAACACCCTCAACCGCCGGGCCATTATCTCCAACCAATTTGTTCTAGAGATGGATTGCAACGTGGATGGAAAACAGACGCCAAACTGTCACCCCCAAAAGTGAAAGCAAGCATATGTCACGGATATTTTGGCCAGGCCAATGAGGATGCTAGAAAGGAGAATCCAACCCGTCTTGTGTGAAGTCCCCCTCTTTCAGAATTCTGCCTCCAGGGAGCAGCTGTGATTTCCCCCCCTTTCCTAAAACAATTCCAGCCTGTGTTAATAGCTGCTAGATCATTTATCACCGCAGTCCTGCTATGGCCCAGACTCTGTTTTCTGTTAAATTAAACAATCTGCGAGGGCTTCAGCAGAAAGGACAGGAAGGTGCGCAGTTATCAAAGAGATGCAAAAGGGAGATTAGAGCTAAATCTGTTCAGGGAGGCATGAAACATGGAAAAGACACGTTTGCTAGCAGAAGTCGCCGGCCCTCTTCTAATCAGGTGCGCAGATCATCACGTGTGGCAGGCAGAGGCCAACTCGGCCCTCCAGATGTTTTGGGACTACAACTCCCATCATCCCTAGCTAACAGGAACAGTGGGCAGGGATGATGGGAATTGTAGTCCCAAAAAACATCTGGAGGGCTGAGTTTGCCTGTGCCTGGTGTATGGCATCTGTGCCCCTGCAGGCAAGACTAAAAGGGTGGAACCTCCATTCTGGGTGGCAGTCTACCAGTTGCAGGGAACCACAACCGGGGTGTTCTGCTGAAGTTCTGCTTGCGGGTTTCCAACAGGAATCTTGTTGGCCACTGGGAGAACAGAATTCTGGACCAGACGGACCATTGGCCTCATCCTGCAGGCTCTTCGGGTGTCCTTAATATTATTATTTTTAAAATATTTAATGCTGTACTGTTTTTAACATTTGATTGGGAGCCGCCCAGAGTGGCTGGGGAAACTCAGCCAGATGGGCGGGGTATAAATAATAAATTATTATTATTATTATTATTATTATTATTATTAAGTGTGCTAATTTATTATTACTGTTGTTCGTTTTATTAAATTTCTTCAGCACCTTTCTAACAAAATCTCAAGGTGTCCCACAAAGAACATACAACGAGAAGTAAAGTAAACAATGAGAATATAACGGTGGTAACAGTAATATCACTACAAACAGTAAAATCCACATCAGTCCACCAAAAATAAAAAAGCCCAATTCACCACTCATGATTGTCAGTGCTGCCTTCACTGGAGTAGATCTTCTGATCCAGACAGCTCAGCTGGTAGAGGGTTGTGGGTTTGAGCCTGAAGTCGGGTGAAAGATTCCTGCATTGCATGGGGTTGGACTAGATGACCCTGGGAACTCAGTTCCGGCACCTCCCAGATGGGCACCGTTGCCATTCTAAGAGAACAAGGTGAGTTCTGGCATCTCTTTCCTAGAAAAAATAGCACTGAGACGATTCTGTGTCTCTCGACCTCCTAATTTCACACAGTCCTCAGTTTAGTTTTTAAATCTAGCTACCTGCAAGGGACGCGGGTGGCGCTGTGGGTTAAACCACAGAGCCTAAGAATTGCCGATCAGAAGGTCGGTGGTTCGAATCCCCGCAACGGGGTGAGCTCCCGTTGCTCGGTCCCTGCTCCTGCCAACCTAGCAGTTCGAAAGCACGTCAAAGTGCAAGTAGATAAATAGGTACCGCTCCGGCGGGAAGGTAAACGGCGTTTCCGTGCGCTGCTCTGCTTCGCCAGAAGCGGCTTAGTCCTGCTGGCCACATGACCCGGAAGCTGTATGCCGGCTCCCTCGGCCAATAAAGCGAGATGAGCGCCGCAACCCCAGAGTCGGCCACAACTGGACCTAATGGTCAGGGGTCCCTTTACCTTTATCTTTACCTGCAAGTGTGACCACGGCAGTGTTCTGGCAGAAAGTGTTTGCAAAAGGGGGTGGACCATCTCTCTTCTGTCTCAGGCCCCACAAAATGCTGGGTTCAGCCTGGCCCATGGCTGGCTGGCACAAGGAGACCCTCTGGTCTTCCTCTCACCCCAAGTCTTTCTCAGCTCCACCTGCAGATGCCAGAGGTGCCTTTGAGAGGCACATGGCAATGTGGTACTTGAGATACCTACTCCATGCTCTCTAGGCATCTAGACATACACAGCGGGGGGGGGGGGGCTTCCCCCCACCAAGGACCAAAATGCTGGAGGCAGGAGCGCCAACTTGAATTAAATACTGTGGTAGCCCAGGTATTGCCCTGCCCCACATAATTCATCACATAATGTGGTGCACACAAACCATTTGAATGCCAGTCAACTTTGGGGGCCCCTGACCCCCTCAAATATATTATTTGGGGGGCAAAGCCCCCTCAGTCCCTCGGAGTTGGCTCCTATGGCTGGAGGTTCCCTGGAGAGGCCCTGTGGAATGCCCTCCCTGTCAAAGAGATAAACAACTATATGACATTTAGAAGACATCTGAAGGCAGCCCTGTTTAGGCAAGTTTTGAATGACTGATGTTTTAATGTATTTTTAATCTTTTGTTTGAAGCTGCCCAGAGTGGATGGGAAATCTAGCCAGATGGGAGGGGTATAAATAATAAATTATTATTATTATTATTATTATTATTATTATTATTATTATTATGCCCTCTGGGCGCACAGAGCGCGCCTTCCGACGGGGCGTTTCCCTCGACGGCCAGGGCCTCTCCAAAGCGCACAGCTCTCCCGTCCCCCCTCGTAGCGTTACTCACGATCATGGGCAGGGAGCAGATGGTGAAGAGGGCGGTCATGAGAGCCAGCAAGACCAGCTGGCCCAGCTCTTCTGTGCGGCCGGCGCCGGGAGGCGCTGTCGACGGGGCGCCGGGGCCACCGCCGCTTCCGTGCGCTCCGGCCGGCTGGCTCCTTCGCGGGGGTTGCCGGCGCGCCATGCGGTAGAGGCTGCGCATGCTGACCAGGTTGCAGAGTCCGATGGCGAGTCCCAGCGCGCCCAGGAGGCTGGCGTAGAGCACCGAGTAGGCCCGCCCGCCGCCGGCCATGCGGATGAAGCACCAGGTGCCCGGGCAGTACTGCACGATGGCACCGAAGCCCAGCAGCGGCAGGGCGCAGAAGAGGGCGCACAGCGCGCCCGCCGCGACGGTTAGCAGCGCGCCCAGGCGCCGGCTGGTGTGGCGCTGGTAAAAGTAGGGGTGTCCCAGCGACAGGCTGCACTCCAGGGCCATGGCTAGTAGCAGCATGGTGGGCGCCAGGCCGAAGAAAGCCATCAGGAAGGCGAACAGCTGGCACAGGCTCCCGGGGTTCGCGTCTCCAGCGTCGGCGGCTGCGTCTTCCCCGACGGCAGTTGCTGGCGGCGGCCAGAGCTCGCTGAGGCTGCGGTTGCGCGCATAGGCGGCCAGGACGATGGGGCTGAGCAGGCACTTGCCCAGCAGGTCGGTGGCGGCCAAGGCGCTGACCAGGAGGTAGAAGGCGGACGCCCTTGGGCGCCCCCAGCCGCCGGCGCGCTGCAGCCGCGCGCGGAGCTGGTGCTGCCACAAGATCCCCAGCGCCAACACGTTGCCCAGCAGGCCGGCCGCGAAGAGCAGCGAGCCCGGCAGCGCCGACTGGCCGCCCTCCAGGTGCCGGTTGGCGCGGCAGCGGTAAGCGCCGCCGCCGTCCATGGAGCCGGCGGCGGGCGAGAGCGTGCGCCTCGACGGGGCGGGCAGGGCGGGACGCGTGTGGGGCGGCGCGGCGGCGCGAGCCGTGCCTATGAAGGGGCGCGGGGCGGGGAGGGTGGGCAGGAGGGTGGACGGCCTCCCGCAGACGGGGCGGGGGCTAAGAGAAGGAAGCGCTGGCCTCGCCGGGAGGGCGGAGAAGGAGCCGTTTGTTCCCACGGGGAGCGGGGAAGGAATCGCAGCTGTCTGTGGGAAGGGGGCGGGCGGAAACAAGCGAGAGGGATGGAGTTCTTTTCTAGACGGCAGGCGGCAAAGGGTCGAGGAAACGAGAGGTGCTGGGGCTTTGGGTTGCCTGGCAAGGCACCTCCTCTGCCCCAGAAACCCTCACCTGCAGCGCCGAGAAGGGTAATAGGTTGGGTACAGTGGTCCTGCGGAAAGGTTGCCGGCGACAAGGGCGCACTGCACATGCCCAGAGGCACTCTGCCCGTCCTCACTTGCCTCACCGCCACTTCCGTCCGGATTTGCAGCAGTAACTCGGGAAAAGGGATCCACTCCAGGGTGGTTTGGGCGGGGATTTCGCCAGTCCAAGGCGCATAGGATGGCAGTTGCTGCAGGACAACTGCTTTGCGTGCAGAAGGTCCCAGGTTCAGTCCCTGGCTGGCAGCATCTCCAGGTAAGGCTGGGGGGGACCCCTGTCCAAAACGCCCGCTGCCATTCAGAGCACGTAAGGCGCAGCTAGATAAGGGTCTGACTCAGAATAAGGCAGCTTCCTGGTATGAATTGCCCTCAGGTGACCAGATAGGGAGGCTTTGCAAAAACTGGTTCTTTGGGGGGGAAGGGTCATAGGTGACGGGGAGAGTATCTGCTTTGAATGCAGGAAGTCCAAAGTTCACCCTCAGGCCTCTCCAGGTAGGATTGAAGGAAGCTGCCCCTCAGGAAGGTCAGCCCACTGGAAGATGAACCAATAATAATAATAATAATAATAATAATAATAATAATAATAATTTATTATCTATACCCCGCCCATCTGGCTGGGTTTCCCCAGCCGCTCTGGGCGGCTTCCAACAAAACACTCAAATACAATAACCTATTAAACATTAAAAGCTTCCCTAAACAGGGCTGCCTTCAGATGTCTTCTAAAAGTTTGGTAGTTATTTTTCTCTTTGACATCTGGTGGGAGGGCGTTCCACAGGACGGGTGCCACTACCGAGAAGGCCCTCTGCCTGGTTCTCTGTAATGTGGCTTCTCGCATGGAGGGGACCGCCAGAAGGCCCTCGGAGCTGGACCTCAGTGTCCGGGCAGAACGATGGGGGTGGAGACGCTCCTTCAGGTATCCTGGGCCGAGGCCTTTTAGGGCTTTAAAGGTCAGCACCAACACTTTGAATTGTGCTTGGAAACATCCTGGGAGCCGATGTAGGTCTTTCAGGACCGGTGTTATGTGGTCCCGGCAGCCGCTCCCAGTCACCAGTCTGGCTGTTGCATTTTGGATTAGTTGCAGTTCCCGGGTCACCTTCAAAGGTAGCCCCACGTAGAGCGCATTGCAAGACCAGTGAACTTGCAGGTTTTGTTGGCCTTCTAAGCCCTCAACCCCAGTGCCGGATTTATGTATAAGCTAAAGCTATAGCCAAAAAATTTAAAGGAAAAAAAACCTGGATGTACATTTCCAAACTATAAGATAAAAAACAAATAAAATAAAACCTACATACAGCACCAGTGTTTTGTGTTGTGTATGACGCGGGTGGCGCTGAGGGACGCGGGTGATGCTAGGGACACGGGTGGCGCTGTGGGTTAAACCACAGAGCCTAGAACTTGCCGATCAGAAGGTCGGCGCTTCGAATCCCCGTGACGGGATGAGCTCCCGTTGCTCGGTCCCTGCTCCTGCCAACCTAGCACTTCGAAAGTACGTCAAAGTGCAAGTAGATAAATAGGTACCGCTCCGGCGGGAAGGTAAACGGCATTTCCGTGCGCTGCTCTGGTTCGCCAGAAGCGGCTTAGTCATTCTGGCCACATGACCCGGAAGCTGTACGCCGGCTCCTTCGGCCAATAAAGCGAGATGAGCACCGCAACCCCAGAGTCGTCCGTGACTGGACCTAATAGTCAGGGGTCCCTTTACCTATGGACCTATTAGGTCCATCAATTACCATATAGCCTATATTCAACACAAAAAACATTGACAATTCGTTGTTGATAAAGGACAGCTGGACATATAAAGGGCCCCATTACCTTCAGTAGCTTAGGGCCTCATCAAACCTAAATCCGGCCCTGCTCAACCGTCTTCCTCTAGTTGCTGTAATAGCACTCATGATTATGATGATGAAATAATAACGATCATCACCAGTGCTTTTTTCTGGGGGTACACAGGGGTACGCATACCCCTAAATATTTTGTGAAGCTAAGTCTGGCCTCATTGAGGGGCAGTATTTCAATATGAGTAGGAAAATGAGAGTACCCTTAAACATTTTTAAAAAGAAAACAAAAACACTTTTAATAATAATAATATGCCACCCATCTGATTGGGTTCCCCCAGCCACTCTGGGCGGCTTCCAACAAATTAAAACAATAGGACATCAAACATTAAAAACTTCAATAGGGCAAACATAAGGTTCTGCACTTAGGAAGAACCAGATGCACACATATAGGATGGGGGACAGCAGTACATGTGAAAAGGATCTAGGGGTCTTGGTGGACCACAAGTTGAACGTGAGTCCACAGTGCATTGCAGCAGCAAAAACAAAGCTCATGCTATTCTAGGCTGCATCAACAGAAGTATAGTGTCCAGGTCAAGGGAAGTAATAGTACCCTCTATTCTGCCTTGGTCAGACCACACCTGGTATACTGTGTCCAGTTCTGGGCGTCACAATTTAAGAAGGATGTCGACAAGCTGGAACATGTGCAGAGGAGGGCGACCAAGATGATCAAGGGTCTGGGAACCAAGCCTTGTGAGGAACGGTTGAAGGAGCTGGATATGTTTAGCCTGGAAAAGAGGAGACTGAAAGGAGATAGGATAGCTAACTACAAATATCTGAGAGGCTGTCAGATGGAAGGCAAGAGCAATCTTGTTTTCTCCTGCTCCAGAATGTAAGACCTTCAAGTTACAAGAAAGGTGATTCCAAAATTAAACATCAGGATGAACCTTCTGACTGTAAGAGCTGTTCAACAGTGGAATGGACTCCCTTGGAAGCTGGTTGACTTTCCAGCATTGGAGGCCGCTTGAGTAGCCACCTGCCAGGGATTCTTCAGTTGTGATTCCTGCATTGCAGGGGGTTGGACTAGATGACCCTCAGGGTCCCTTCCAACTCTACCATTCTACGATTCTCTGAAATCTCTGAAATTTGGAGCAGTGGTCATCCAGGGTTTCAGGAAGGTCACCACCATGTCTTCCTGTCCACTGGTTGGGATGTTGATTTCAGAATAGAGGAAGCTGCCTTTTATCACAGTATCACATGAGCACTGCTCCACAGCATTTGATATTTTCATTCACATATATTCATTCGAAATAAGATGGGTTTATGAAACAATTCTATATTCTCCCACCACGCTGACGAAGATCTACAAAACAGCAGTCAATATCCGGAATCTCTGTTCAGTGTTGGACATTATATTTGCTGAATACATCATCATCATAATTTATTATTTATACCCCGCCCATCTGGCTGAGTTTCCTCAGCCACTCTGGGCGGCTTCCAATCGAGTGTTAAAAGCAATACAAAGCTTCACAGCTTATCTTTCATCGTACAAAGTTTGGTATCTCTCTTCATTTAAAGACTTTCAGAGACTTTGAGTCTAAGATTCATTTTACTGAATCAGAGCATTGGTCCATACAGCTCAGTCTGCACTGGCTGCCAGCAGCTTCCAGACAGAGTCTAGCCTCTCCCAACCCTTGCTAGAGATGTTGGGGACTGAACCCGAGACCTTTTGCTTGGAAGGCAGATGTTTTAACCCCTGAGCTAGCTCTCTCCCCTGTCACACACTAAAAGAAAGGGACCATGGCTGGTTACGTGTGAGCTGGAAGGAGCTGGCACCCTCAGCCCTTCGTGACCAGAGAGCCATAATATTTGCTCCTGTCCATCCATCATGTTTGTTTTTTTCTGCGGAGCTAGGAGCTCAGATGGAAAACAAAGATTACTGACTTCAACAGGGACAGGCTTTGTAGACACTTCGTGACTATAGGAAAGTACAGGAAAATCTGAGCCTTGCTTGCGGAAGCATCAAAAATCGGTCCCCCCAGTGACATTTCGTGGTGATAGGGATATTCTGGCTGTGACCCTGCAGTACTGTGTGTGGTTTGGGAGCTGCACGGTCAGGGAAAAAACCAATGCTATCCAGCGTTGTAAAGACTGCGGAGAGACTAATTGGGTGCACTCTTCCCACCTTGGATCAAATCTATGCTTCCAGGTGACATAAGAAAGCTGCAGAGATAGCGAGAATGATCTCTTTCAGCTTCTGCCTTCTGGAAGAACTGTACAGTGGTACCTCGGGTTAAGTACTTAATTCGTTCCAGAGGTCCGTTCTTAACCTGATACTGTTCTTAACCTGAAGCACCACTTTAGCTAATGGGGCCTCCTGCTGCTGCTGCGCTGCCGGAGCCCGATTTCTGTTCTTATCCTGAAGCAAAGTTCTTAACCTGAAGCACTATTTCTGGGTTAGCGGAGTACGTAACCTGAAGCGTATGTAACCTGAAGCGTATGTAAACTGAAGCGTATGTAACCTGAGGTACCACTATACAGGGTTATAAAGACTAGGACTAGCCGCCTGAGAAACAGTTTCTATTCAAATGCGATTTTGGTTTTAAATGCAGTGTAAGGTAGTCTCTGTGGGAGTATATGTATTTAATTATGGGGTATCAGAGTTTTTATTTTTTATTTTTTTAAAATGATATTTATTAAAGTTTCAGAAAAGGTTACAAAAATAAGAAAAAGAAAAAGAAAAGAAAAAATACAAAATACAGAAAAATAAAAACATTTAAAAACAAATCAATCTTTCCATGTCTTGTCTTTCATTTACTTGTTTCCATGACCTCCTCACACCTCCCTTTTTTGTATTCCAGTTCAGTTAGTTAATTCAGCAAATCCTTTCCCTCTTTGTTTTTATCTTAATCCTTTATCCTAATATATTATAACTTTAGATTCTCACCTGTTAACAATCCATTTTTACATACTCCTTTGTAACATTGCTGCTAAAACCACTTAACTTCATTCTGACATCATTCTAACATTCATTAATTTTGCAGTATTTCTGTAAATAGTCTTTAAATTTCTTCCAATCTTCTTCCACCGACTCTTCTCCCTGGTCTCGGATTCTGCCAGTCATTTCCGCCAGTTCCATATAGTCCATCACCTTCACCTACCATTCTTCCAGGGTGGGTAGATCTTGTGTCTTCCAGTACTTTGCAATAAGTATTCTTGCTGCTGTTGTAGCATACATAAAGAAAGTTCTATCCTTCTTTGGCACCAATTGGCCAACCATGCCCAGGAGAAAGGCCTCTGGTTTCTTCAGAAAGGTATATTTAAATACCTTTTTCATTTCATTTTTCCACCTGGAAGCCAATTTTCTTGTCCAAATTATATGCCTCCATTATCTGATAATAATGAAGTCAATCTCGCACTTTATTTTTTAGTTTTTCAAAACTCTGCAATTTCAATCTGTCTCCCTCTTGTTCCAAAATTTCCCAATATTTCGGCCATTTGGCCTCCATATTGAGCTTTTTCTGAGCCTTCGCTTCCATCGGTGACAACCACCTTGGGGTTTTATTTTCAAGTAGGTCCTTATATCTTATCCAGACATTAAACAATGCTTTCCTGACAATATGATTTTTAAATGCTTTATGTGCTTTGACCTTATCATATTGGGGTATCAGAGTTTTTAGGGGGCTAAACAGGCTGGGATAGCTGGGATAGCAGGCTTGTTGGTTTCAAATGTTTGATGTAGATATTTTCAATTTCGTTGTTCTGTATGGGACAATGACAATAAAGATGATCGTATTGTATCATACTGCCTCCACCTCAATCATTTTGGCAGTCCTTTTCTGAGCTTTTTCCAACTCGACAATAAAATAAACCTGAAAGCGACTTGCCTATCAGTCTTCGGTGTGGGGTGAGCATGGAATCCACAAACCCTAAATCTGCAGGGAAATGCAATAATAAGAAATAGATCTCGTTGCAAATTTCCCTGCCCCCAGATGCTTTAGCTGAGATTTCTACATTGCAGGGGGTGGACTAAATGACTCTTAGGGTTCCTTCCATCTCTACTATTCTGTGATTCTATGAAGGAACCCCTTCTTCCAAGCAGACCTGCCTCTGTGTTGAGATCTGTGGAGTTGACCTTCCTAGTGGGGCTTCTACCATTTGGCAAATAATATTCAGCACCCCAGGGGAGGGCCTTCTTGGTGGTGGCTCCCCAGTTTTTGTAATCCCCCCTCTAAGTTACGGTGGGAGGCTGCTTTTAATTGCTGTCCTGCTGCTTGTTGAGCTTGTGAAAAATATTTTTATGCGTCTTATCTTCAGAGCTGTATTTTTAAACTGCAGATATTTTAAATGAAATAAATATAAGCATCATGTTTATTAAGGTAAAGGTAAAGGTACCCCTGCCCATACGGGCCAGTCTTGCCAGACTCTAGGGTTGTGCGCTCATCTCACTCTATAGGCCGGGAGCCAGCGCTGTCCGCAGACACTTCCAGGTCACGTGGCCAGCGTGACAAGCTGCATCTGGCGAGCCAGCGCAGCACACAGAACGCCGTTTACCTTCCCGCTGGTAAGCGGTCCCTATTTACAGTGGTGCCTCACAAGACAAAATTAATCCGTTCCGCAAGTCTCTTCGTCTTGCGGTTTTTTCGTCTTGTGAAGCACGGCTATTAGCGGCTTAGCGGCTATTAGCGGCTTAGCGGCTATTAGCGGCTTAGCGGCTATTAACAGCTTAGCGGCTTTAAGAAAAAGGAAACAAACTCGCAAGAACTCGCAAGACGTTTCGTCTTGCGAAGCAAGCCCATAGGGAAATTCGTCTTGTGGAACGACTCCAAAAAAGCAAAACCCTTTCGTCTAGCGAGTTTTTCGTCTTGCGAGGCATTCGTCTTGCGGGGCACCACTGTATCTACTTGCACCCGGAGGTGCTTTCGAACTGCTAGGTTGGCAGGCGCTGGGACCGAACGACGGGAGCGCACCCCGCCGTGGGGATTCGAACCGCGGACCATGCGATCGGCAAGTCCTAGGCGCTGAGGTTTTTACCCACAGCGCCACCCGCGTCCCTCATGTTTATTACATCCCCTGTATATTGCAAAGGCAGAAAAAGGCCAAAACAAAAACAACACAATATTGGGTTATATTACCTATAAAAGGCAGATTAAAAGGTTCAAATGACTTTTTTAAAAAATGACAGAGGCATGGTGAAATTACATTTTATTCGGGAGAATTTGCCTAAGGGGTTTCATCATTTTGCAATAAGAAACATAAAACCACAACGGTCAGGAATGGTTGTAAACTGGGCATTGTTGCAACGAATCCATTATTGAAATCTAGGAAAGGAATAGATTTCGCTAAGTCTTAGATTTTGGATGTCCTGGTTAGTCTCACTTATCCCTATATGATCTGTGAGCCAAGTTCCACAGCCGTTTGAGGAGCTGTTAGCTAAGCATTGATTGACATTTTTATTTATTTGAGGGATGTTTATATGGCCTTTCAACCGCAGTTTTCAGGGCACTTGACAGATGAAATGATTTTTGAAACATCAAGGCCAAAAGAAAACAAAACTTCAAAAGCAGCATTAACAGTGAGTGATGGGGCCTTTTAAAAGCTGGAGAGAGGAAGACAGTATGAAAAAAGATCTGTGTCCAGTGCGGAAAAGAGAATCATGCAAATGTGTCAGGGCCCTTTCACACTTCGTTTTATGGTGCATTCATCATGATCTGTCCTCATGATCCTGCTTCCTGCAAAGATTTTGAAGAGAAGAAGAAGAGTTTGGATTTGATATCCCGCTTTATCACTACCCGAAGGAGTCTCAAAGCGGCTAACATTCTCCTTTCCCTTCCTCCCCCACAACAAACACTCTGTGAGGTGAGTGGGGCTGAGAGACTTCAGAGAAGTGTGACTGGCCCAAGGTCACCCAGCAGCTGCATGTGGAGGAGCGGAGACGCGAACCCGGTTCACCAGATTACGAGTCTACCGCTCTTAACCACTACACCACACTGGCTCATATTACTTATACAGTGGTACTTTGGGTTACATACGCTTCAGGTTACAGACTCCACTAACCCAGAAATAGTACCTTGGGTTAAGAACTTTGCTTCAGGATGAGAACAGAAATCGCGCAGTGGCAGCACGGCAGCAGCAGGAGGCCCCATTAGCTAAAGTGGTGCTTCAGGTTAAGAACAGTTTCAAGTTAAGAACGGACCTCCGGAACGAATTAAGTACGTAACCAGAGGTACCACTGCAATTCTGAATCTCTGCCTGTTCATAGCTTCCTGCTGAAATCCTGTGAATTTTTATACCCCAGATGTTCTGGGGTGAGCTTTAATGTCCTGCTTTTTCATGCTATAATAATAATAATAATAATAATAATAATAATAATAATAATAATTTATTTATACCCTGCCCATCTGGCTGGGTTTCCCCAGCCACTCTGGGTGGCACCCAATCGAATATTAAAAACACAATACAGCATTAAACATTAAAAACTTCCCTAAACAGGGCTGCCTTCAGATGTCTTCTAAACGTCAGACAGTTGTTTATTTCCTTGATATCTGATGTGAGGGCATTCCATAGGACAGGTGCCACCACCGAGAAGGCCCTATGCCTGGTTCCCTGTAACCTCACTTCTCGCAGGGAGGGAACCACCAGAAGGCCCATGGAGCTGGACCTCAGTGTCTGAGCTGGACAATGGGGGTGAAGACGCTCCTTCAGGTATCCTGGGCTGAGGCCATTTAGGGCTTTCAAGGTCAGCACCAACACTTTGAATTCTGCTTGG